AGTTTATGACTCGTAGGACATCTGCAGGTGTCCGAACAGGCTTTCGTTCAGCCCTGCCTAGTGATGAGGCTCTGCATCCATGCACCGTCGACAACAGCTATGTGGTAAGCGCAGCGTGCATTCTAATGCTCCTTTCTCCTTGAGTACTGGTCACTTATCACTGTCACATGGAAGAAAGACGAGTGACAGAAAAATAATTTAAAATATGGTTCGCTCCTTCGTACGACTCGCTGTGATGATGACTGCTAGTATACAGCTGCAGGGAAAACTTTCAGTCATAAAAGAACATGTTCCAGATGTTACATTAAAGAAACGATTGAGTGAACGCGAATAAAAGCAAGAATATCGCTAGGCCTTTCTGTCGAAGAGAGTAACTAATGATAAAAGATTCATGCCTACTCTGTAATCACTTTGGCATTCTGCTATTATCTTAAGCACATATTTCTTAGATAAACAAGCTGATGAACTAGAACCAAAAACTGGAGTAAAACCTCATGCTAAACTCTGAGGCTTCGATTCATGTCTAGACCATGACATTGTCAAAACCCGTATTCCTTTTTCCCTAGTGTTTAAAGTTTACAATGCGGTTTTAACCATTTGCTAAGACACAGTTAAGGATGGATAAACTTGTCAGAAGATTTGTTGGTTTCCAGTTCTATAAATCAGATGTGTCCATAGTCGAAAAAGCAGCACAGGAATTTCGGAATTAGCCACAACAACCTCATCGAAAGTAAACATCGAGTGTATGAAAGACGGTTACGAAACATTCAAGATTTCTTGCACTAGGTTAGTCATCAGTTTCAGCTGCGTCTTACAATCTGAGGCTATTAAACGTTAATGCTTACGCCCTTCAGTTCATTTTGATATTCGCATAGGTTCATTGCATCTACCAAGAAAAGCTGCTTGATCAGTAAACACAGACCTCAATTTAGCTTAACTCTGTTTCAGACGACCAAACTCCGTTCGTCATGTGTGAGTGAGTTGGCTGAGAGGTGCTACAATTTAATGAGTTGGCAGCAAGGAAACAAATTTGGCATTTTTTGGGATGCCCGTCTTCCTCAAGCTTTCACTATGCACGCTTTTTATGGCACCAGTTTTCGCAGAGTAATGGCTCGACGCTGATCTCCATTTCCAGTCATCAGTCAGGAGAGCCTTATTTTAAAGTCACTGTCCACGGCTATGTGAACGGTACTGCGTGCAGCGTAACCTTTTCCAACAAAATGGTCCGATAATTCTATCTCATAAGGTTAAAGACAAGTGATCTGACTCCTTAGCGAAGCTTGGTTAACTAGCAGTAAATAGTCGAATCTAGTTTTGTCATATTTAGTAAGTCCGATAAATACGTGACAGACGTTTATACCAAAATCTGAACATTTACATTTCTCTGACGACCTCCTGGAATGTACACGAAATGCTGAAGCAGGAAGTTGACAAAATACTTTGCGCGAATCAGGCATGCTTTCAGCAGGGGCATACCTACCGTGACTACACTGTTACCTGCCTAGGATTACTGAGCAATGACGACAAATCCAGTTACTTCTGCCAATTTCCTCAACTTTCATTTCACAAAAGGCTGCATTTCGTTTAATATCGTCCATTTGTGGGGAATCTTAAGTTATGGGATATCTTGGTATGCCGTTTCTATTTGCGAGATGTACATACGAACCACCCTTGCTGTCAAAATTGAATGAGAGCGTCAATGATACCTCAGTAAATGCGGAGTTCAAGACGGCATTTTCGTTTTTGCAATTTGAAACTGTTCTTGAATTCTTCTGAAGAAACTATGCGCTGATCCCGACAACAATGAATGTATCATTTGTAAAACATTTGGCAAAGTATCTGAATGACCTGGAATACGCAGATCGCACTGTCGTTGAGTTGCGGCGAGAAGACTGTCACCTAATGACTTGAGTTCGCAACACATCTGCAAAAACTGATTTCTACTTAAATGTCGGGAAGTCAAAAACTAAGAGAAACCCATCTGACAAAGATGAACTAATAGCAGATCAAAGAAGGCAAGCGATAGACCAAGACAACAAACTTACGTATCTCGGGTCCGTACAATTGAGCGGTGCAGAGGCAAACGTGTGGATGGAGTGCTTTAGGGGATATGTAGAATATCTGAGATGAGGAAGGAATCAATCCCACAAAAGTTCACCTGCACCTTGCCTGTGTCAAATGTTGTTTACAGAAAGAGAAGCGAAGCAACATGAATTATGGCTAACTGCGTGCAGCAAAGTTGGATTGTACGCATAATGAGGTTTAAACAACAGGCCCACGTAAAGAACGACTCTATCGTACTCCGGGCAAAGAAGTCTATCTTAGATGTGCCACAGAGTGATTAAGAAAATAAGACTGGCGCATTAGACAAACTATATAAGCATAAACAAGACCGTTCAGTCCGCGTTGGAGCCAAAAAACGGCAGACATCAACTATGAGGCGCAGGACTGCAGTATGAAGGAACAAGGTAAATGCAAGACTATCTTCGGTAAATAATTGCTCTTTCGACAATGCACTCCTCGGTGCCTTATAGCAAATTCTGTACAGTTGCTATCACAAACCGGAAACTTTCGGCTCATGCAAATGATTCAAAGTAATGATCTAAAGAAGCACTACTGACTAACGGTACAGTTGCAAATCTATGAAGTGTCACTTACTAAATTGCTGGACATATATCGCGAGGGACACACTCATATGTGAAAAAATGCCGCATGAATCGGCAATACATGATCAAAGCACAATTAGTCTAAACTTTCGTCAGGCAAAGAAAGGTAAACTTTACCTGTCGTCAAGTTATGAAAGGCATAGAATACAAAGTAGCCTCCCCTCTGAAAATAAGGTCAGGTGTTCATTCGAAATTCAAACCAAATTAACAAAAGCTACGTACTTCTAACAATAAAACATGTTAACGACTAATATCAACCTTACGATGTGGGCAGAGACATATGCCAGACACTGCTGTCCCGAATCAGACAGGTAACATCTAACGCATCACCCGTCAAGTGAGGTATATGACCGGCGCGAGTGTAGATCATGCAGAGCGGAGTGTCGAGTTGCAGGTCAGTTTTTGATCCCCATTCAGTGATGCAGCATAAGCGCTTCCCTACATTGTTCTTGCTGCATTTCAGGATGTGAAATTTCATGTTTTATGGATATGCAAAAAACTGAAATTAACTAAAAATGAATCATAAACCGAAGAATTGTAAACAAAATAGAAACGCACAGAAGAATCGATTGGTCATCAAAAAACACGTACCGAAAATAGTTTATGTTAAATATAAGTCGCAAATAACATCAGAAATAGCTGATTGCATTAGGTCATGTACTGAATAGACCTTTTTCTCAAAACTCTAATGTCAGTATGAATTCTACAATGACAAGCCTTTTCGAACAAACATTGCAAACAATGAAATGGGTAATAATATAAACACGAAAGAACATTAAAAACAAGAAATTCACGAAGTAGTCTTCCGCTTACTGCGGATCGTCGTCAGCAGGTAATTTCGCCACTGGCTTTCGTCGATGAGCTTCGCCCATTCAGGAATGTGAGATTCAGGCAGGGAAAAATGCGACATGCACTCCTTGATCAGGTTCACTTGGTCTAAACAATGAAAATACTAATAATCGATAAACAACAGTTGAGATTAGTTTTCCTTCTGGTAGCTGTACCTTCGGATATTTCGTTCGAAGGCACCACGTCAGGCAGCGAATCAGTTTCGAGCGACTCCTTAATAATAAGAAAACGCATAAAGAATGGCCATTCCGCCAAACAGAACATTTTAATAGTGCCCACTTCTGAGACAACTCGCCAATTGGCACATCTTTATGATATATTCATTCTTTACAACATTCGGACTGTCTCAAAAGGGATAAAATATTCATAAAATTTTTGCTTTATTTTACATTTAGTGTAAACTTTTTGTCTTGAAGACGGTCCGCTCATGGACTGAAACCTGCGTGACGACAAGATGTTGAAACAAAGCTTAGAAGTTTATGATATCCCAAACGATAACATACCTCATAAAACATTGTAGCACATACAGTTAATTTCTTATATTATTATATAAGTATTGGAGATATATCACCCTGATT